TTGTAAACAGTGAGTATAGTTATTTGCAGAAAGCCTGTTATGATAAACATCCCTTCATAACTTGAAACTGCCTGAGAACAGACAAACGGTAATGAAGACGGGAACGTTACATAGATTGAGGTAAGCATGTTTTGTTGACTTGGTTTGATATATTTTGAATGAATAATAATACAACAGTCATTAGACTACGCTTGCGTATGATAGGAGGAATAAGACTGATCTCGGAGGGTGTTATCCACCTCGGCCGTTAACATTCTGCTCGATCCGCATAATTCTTCACATCATACTTTATTTCATCCAGTAATAACTTATTTTTGTTTGGCTAAATCCGCGAGCGGGTAAGATGAAGCGAATCCTGCATTCTGATTGGCCACCCGAGCCCACCTTACTCGCTCGGGATATCCCGCGTTAGTCCCGCAAAAAAAATTCTCTTAGTGGCCATATAATAATTTCGTCTCGGTCAATAAAAACGCAAAAAAGAACGAGGTCATATTAAGCCATCTTGACTAAACAAGCTTGGTCAATAACGCATATGTATTACCTGCGGGCTTAGTCCGCGGAGCGCTTAACTGCAGGGCAGGAGGTCGTGGGTTCGATTCCTGGGGGCGTTGGCGGGCCATTACTAAGGGTCTTAAAATAACCGAAAAGGAAGGTATTTCATTTACCCTGCAAACGGCTAGATATTTGCGTGGCTCGGATGACCACGCACTATACAAATGGCGGTACCGTCTCCAGCAGGTGACAGCAACACAGAGTCCTCAATAGGCTATTTGGAAGTTCCAATTACTCTCACTTTGAAAACGAGGCTAGGTGTAAAATCTTTCAAGTGAAAACGACATTTATCAAAAGCTTCACACTTAGCCTCGCTTTGAAAAAGAGGCTTGGGGTAATTAAGAAATAACCTATTAGTACTTCGTTGTGGGGAAGAGTTTGAAACAAGGGAGGTAATCTATTTGAGGGCTGTAAGTTATGGAGCCTACGTTCTCCCTCTCAGAAAACGTAAGGATCAATTCAGAATGAACTACAATTTGTCGTGGCCCCATATTCCATATTGTGCATTCTTAAATTGCGCTGAAACCTAAAAGAGAGGCAGAAAAAAACACCAGGTGACTGTACAACGCTGATTTCTTTGTTTGCTAGTTCATGGAGTTTACATTTTGGTAGAAACTGATTAAATCGCCCTACATTTTTCTCTCAGTAATTTAGGTAAAAAACATTGTACGATAGGAGTAGCTGTTATTAGTCACGGCTAATGAACAGTACACGCATCACAATAACTAACTAAGAGCTCAATCCAGGGAGCGATTTTAATTAACTTAAAATATTTTTAAAACACAGATGAGGATGATCTCATTTACATATGCTACAAACAGTAACACCAGTTAGCATTAAAACGTAATCTAATTTTATAAATCCATCACAGCGCGCGCCCCAGAATGACGTAAAGTTAGAGAACATTTTCATCATATTTTACAAAGATCGGAGTAACTTCAGCGTACTGTTTAATATTAGGCACTGCTAATAAACAGTGCATGCAACAAATTTACTCCGAGCATGGATTTGAATCTAAAAAGCATTCTAACTACATAAAAAAATCATCAGTAAACTGGCAGGTAGGACTGATAATTACGGCTGTATCGCTTACACAAACTAAATTTAAATCCTTCTACATCACTATATAATATGTATGTAATGATAAAAAGTTGAAAGATCATGTTCATCGTTTTGTCAATCCTAATTTTTTTTGCCAGTTCATGGAAATGACAATTTTGTTATAACAGAAAAGAAAGCTTGCTCTTCACTTGGAAGGGTGTATATTGCTTAAATGAATCACTTTTATGGACAAAATCTATGATCAGAGTCATATCACTTAACACACTGAACTGTTATTAGTCACTGCTAATGAACAGTTCATACAAAACAATTTACTTAAAACCTGGATCTGAATCCAGAGAGTGCGTATTTTGATGATAAATTTGTATGGTAGCATTATATTGTACAATCGGAGTAAACACACTGAACTGCTATTGGTCACTGCTAATGAACAGTTTATACAATAAATTTACTCAAATTCAGAGAGTGACTATTTTGATGATAAATTTGCATGGTAGCATTATATTGTACAATCGTAGTAGTAGTAGTAGTAGTAGTAGTAGTAGTAGTAGTAGTAGTAGTAGTAGTAGTAATAGTAGTAGTAGTCGTCGTCGTCGTCGTCGTCGTAGTGGTAGTAGTAGTAGTAGTATATTGTTTTATATGTACAATACATTGTTCACTGTATATTGTACAATCGGAGTAAACACACTGAACTGTTATTAGTCCCTGCTAATGAACACTTCATACAACAAATTGCTTTAAACCTGGAGCTGAAACCATAGAGCGATCTTTATTTTTTTAAATAATACTACTTAAAAATGCAGATAGGTCATAATTCTTTCTGCATCAGCTAAAATAACTAACATTGTTAGCAAAAATACAGCACTGCACTATATAGCTTGAACCTCATATTCACCATATTCAGTTTCACAATGCTGATTTGTGTGCCAGCTCATTTCATAAAACTTGGAAACTTACGCTTCATCTGGACGCATTCTAAATATTGTCACAGCTAAGTAAATCAGTATGAATATGAAAATGAACGCACTGAACTGTTATTAGTCACTGCTAATAAACAGTACAGGCAACAAATTTACTCTGAACCTGAATCTGAATTCAGAAAGCAAACGTAGTGTTACATTCTTGCTAATCTAAACTTGCAGATTCTTTTAAATTAGAGTGGACGTAGTGAACTTTTTTTGATTGGAATAAATTAATGTAGCATTATAAATTCGTCACCGTATATACGTAAATTATGTACAGTTTAAAACGCAAGCTCATCGTATTACACATTGTTGATTTGTTTGCTAGTTAATGGCATCCACATTTTCTTAACACTGTTACAGATAAAATCTCTCTTTACTTGAAAGCGTGTATACTGTCCTAGTGAGACACATCAACAAAACGTACGACCATGGAAATATCAACAAATACACTGAACTGTTATTAGTCATTGCTAATGAACAGTTCATAAGGTCGTGCTCATACGCTCATGTTCGTCATACTGTACAATACCAATTTGTTTGCGAGTTCAAGTAATTAGAATTTCTGTACAAACTGCCTAAGTTAAACGGCTTACAAAAAGGAAAAACGGAGTAATATCACCAAACACATTGGACTGTTATTGGTCACTGCTAATGAACAGTCAATTGCACCAGGTGATACAAGGGTAAGCCTCACTATGGGTACCTAGGGACGTCGTTTTCGTCGTGTAGCGCGTTTTCAATCAAATTGTCGGTTGTTGCTGGCACAGCTAGCGGGAGTCGAAAAACTATGCATCATTGAGTTTTCAACCATAATATCGGAAACAGCAAAGTTAAGTTCAGTCGAGCACGTTTTCAGTGTAGAAAGTTTTATAAGAAAATAAATCTAAGTACTTCTAAGTTGAGTTACAAACCAGGAGCCCATTTCTTTTGCAGCGTCACCGGGGGGACACCCACATAAACGTGACGGCGATGCTCCTCTTTCGCTTAGGGATAGGAAATTGTAAAATTTTGATCTCACTTAAGGTGACCAGGACAACAAGGCAATATTTTTCCCATGCAGGCATCAGGTAGGGTAAGATGTGATCATTCACTTAGGACTGTGTGTAAAGAAAATCTAACTAAAAAAGCCAAACACCACCATACAGTCTCCTTTATGGTTTTTGTGCTAATTTTCCGACGAGCATTCCCGTCCCTATTATATGGGAGCCCCCCCCCCCGGCCGGCTGGTATTCAGAAAACGTCAGAGCGCGTTACTTAGGCGTTTCGCTTATTTTTAGATTTCTTTTCACCGTAATTCACTTTGTTCAAAACCGATTGCAAGATCTAGGACGGAAGTTGATGTCTAAGCCTTATTGGTCCTTACTTAAACGTTTCTTTAACCAAATGAACACAGTAAACTCTCTTCGGCTGACAATTCGTTGATCTCATGCGCCATTACTGGAAATTCTGCTCTGCTCTCATTGGATGGCAAAACCTGAACATCTAACACGCTGTGGCCCAGGCCTCACACGAGTGGTGGACTCTTGAGGTTGATGTACTCCTGGTTTTACCCATGATAGTTACGCATCGCATGCAGTGTGTACACTAAGTAGTACAAAAATCTCTTGATTTACTCCAACCTAATTTGGGTATCCCTGTGTTTTGGATAACTCCGTATACAAATCCCTCGTGATGTGGGTTTTTCCGTTATTTCAGGTCAGAGTTGCGAGTATCCCCTAGTACCCTACCGGGATACTAACATCCCTTGTGATTTGGGTCGATGTTTCGAAGGCACTATCCTTCGCAGCGTACCCTGCAAGCGACGTGCCCCCCCCGGATCATGCCTGACACTCAAGCTACTCGCAGTATTTTGTACCTTGGACAGGAATTCCGGCAAATAAAATGGACTCTTGTGATTGTTTAAACGTTGCCTCATGTGATTAGTTTGCACACCAAAAGACACTGCATGCACACGTAAAATGTTGTATGTATAAGAGGAAAGTTTTGAAGCCTGGTGGTTTTGTCAGTGATCACCGGCAATCGCAGTAGCCAGTTCCTTCTAAAACACGGCTTCCAGTCTAACTTTGTCATAAAGACCTTTTAGAGCTGGTGGTCGACTATTGTGAAATAAAAACTACAGTTCAATTCCACTATCTTTAAGGACGTCGCAACGAACTGAAATAACAGGAAAATTATAAAGAAATCAAGTTGTAGAGCCGGTTTCAGTGGTTGTAAAACGACCAAGGTAGGATCAGTGTTTTCACCCACATCACCAGGGACTTGAGGGGGATACCCAAAATGCGGGGATACTAAAATTAGAGGGATATCAAAGGGATATTTTAAGTATGGGGATACCTAAATGATTGTCGCACAGGTGGTACGTGGTTCATTTAGTGTCCAGGTCTCTTCGCACTTTTGGTGTTGTGAGCAGGTTTCCCTTTTTCACTCTTCATCAAATGTGACTCCCATTTCTTGTAGTTCTGCCTCTGTAAATAGGCGAATATCAGGCGAAGGCAATGTCTAACAAAAAAGACAAACAGCAACGGATTAAAAATAACGTAGAGTTAGTTCGTTAGTCTCTGATCGTGAAAATGGTAGCCATGATTGTTTTGCGAAAACAATGGTGTTCCTAATTCTCTACAAACCTCAGCGTGATTGAAAAAGTCATAACGAAACGCACAAGTTTAATCGCCCCTCTAGAAGGAAAACTATGTACTGTAAACAGAGAAATTCCTCGTTTTGTCTGACCTGCGATCAGGGGTTTTCTTTTTCGGGAAAAGTCCTATACCCCTCGCCTCCAAAACAAAAGGGAAGAAGGATCGCCGAATCACAGGTTACGTTTTGTCCTGATCTACTATCACCCAGCGGAAGAAACCGAGAGACTGCTACTGGTCAAAAAAAGTAGAGAGGATCTTTGTGCAATATAAAGTAGCGAATGCGATGAAAGAATCAAAAGCTTCACCACTCCGCCTTATTTCATTACCCTTCTTAACTTTAAATGTGAATGTATTTTGCAAGGAAGTACAGTGGAACCTCGATATAACGAACCTCTACATAACAAAGTCCTCCGTATGACGGACGATTTTCTTCATCCCAGTAATAGCAAAATAGATGAAAAAGAACCTCGAGATAACGAAACCTCGTTCTACCGAACAAATTATGCCAGTCCCTTTGTTATGTCGAGGTTCCACTTTACTAACTGAGGACACAGTTTTCATGTCTCCTACTAGATGGGACTGCCACTTCAACGTCATTGGAGCAACGCAAGGCAAACGCAGTACCTTCACTGCTTAGTTGTTTTAAGTATTAGTACAGTCACGGTAATCAAACCAGCGACCTCCTGCTAGTAGTATAGTATATGGGGGTCCGAGGACATTACCAAATTTCGGGTTTACTATATGGTTTTTGTATTTGACCTTGGGCTCCATTGACCTTGACCTTGGGATTTGACCTTGGGAATTCCTGGAAATGGCCACGCTCCTTTCTTCTGGAACTTGACCTTGACCTTGGGGGTTTTGGGGCTTGCAAATAGCATTTTTCGCCGTTTTGGGCCCCTAAATGGCATATTTTTGGTGTTTTTTGGGGCCTGGGAAGGTGATTATGCCCATATAAATCATTTAAAGCGAAGCTTACTATTTATATTAATGACCGTGGACATGAAAAATATTATATATAGTAATAATAATATAACGAGCAATCGTAATGAATTAGTCAGAAGGCTATTATCTGGAATCACAATGAGTGAACTCCAAAATCTTGTTAATATAAGGGAAGAAGCACGCCCTATCCCTGCTCCCAGAAGGAGGGGGGAGAAGCACGCCCTATTCCTGCTCCAAGAAGAAGGACTCCAATTCCTACACCAAGGAGAAATGTACGACAATTAATACACTATTTCGAGGATAATCCTTTCCCATCATATAGGCCTATTCCGGTCCCCAGAACAAAGAAACAACAACCAGTACCAGCCCCCAGGACTAAAATAAATAAAAAAGGAGGGCTCTAAAAGGCTTTACACAGTCGTTTGAAATATCATTTAAGTCCAACAGAGATGCCTTAGTACAGCTACAAAATACTAGGCTAGCTAAAAAAAATACATTAGTAATTGTTGTCACGACTTGACTACCATTCGACAAGTTTTTTTACAAAAATGTGTGTTTCCTAGTATGGATAAGAATGGCGACACATCCCCTTTGAAGAACGGTTCCTTTTCGTCTACAGGGAAGTTCCTGGGTATAACGGGCATTAATAATGCAAATTAAAAAAGAGAAACTTACATGATAATCTGACCACATGTATATGCGCCTTTCATTTGCTAATGCACACAGCTCAATGGCTTCTTTCTTTGTCAGTTGAACTTGAGTGAGCATGAGATTAGAAAGCTGAGGACTACTTCTGAGACACTTGATTAGTTCAGTCACTCCGCGGCCCAGCGGATTTTCGGAAAGGTAAAGGAACTTCAGTTCTGGTACGTAAACTAGTGCATGGGCTAAAGCTGTGACTTCCTCTTCACCCATCTGTGTATCACGAAGGTCTAGCGTTTCCAGATGAGGTACATTGGGCAGGTGTTTGGCAAGCTCACTTATCCCGTGACCGAGTGGGTTAAGTGGTAACTGCAGAATACGTAACTTACCAACATATTTTAAAGCAGTGGCAAGTAACTGACACTCTTGATTTCCCAAACCCACACCAAATAAAACGAGCTTAGATAGTCGAGGCACACGTAGATGGTCTAGATTATTAAGTAAACTGACAAGTACACTTGTTGGGCGCCGAACTGTAATCTCTCTTAAATATGACAGAAAGTGTGTCAGAGTCTGGTCAGATGTTTTCTCAGTTAAATCCAAAGAGCTGCAAACATCATCATCACACACGTGATCAGGCTCTTGAAGAGAGGACTTTGGTGCTGATATTGATGATCTAAGCAGTTCAATGAATTTCGGACTGGTACATATAACGAGCTGAACACGAGTTAAATAGAACACTAATCGATGTCCAACTTTCTTAATGAAAAAATCGTGAGGGAATAGGTCGTGGTACGTATTCACGGATTTTACGTCACCATAACAAGTCGCAAAAACAGTGTCCAAATCGGACATGACAGAAAATATTTGATCACCCACATCTTCTGGGTCACCTGGAAACCCACCTTGAAAAAAAACATAATCTGGCTTATGGAAATTTGTTGATCTCAGGCAGTGTTCGCTGGAAACTTTAGGCAGTTGATCCACACAACCTATCACTATAAGACCGTTGACGCATTGCAGAAATGAAGGATAGACATTTTCCCTATCTGAGGCAGTGCGAGAAAGGAAAAGATCGAGACTAATATGAAAAAACTCTCTTTGTACTTCAGTGAGCTCCTCAATAGAGGGGTTTTCACAGAAGTTGTAATCAGTCAGACCTTCTTTTTCTCCTATCATCTTCAGATGGCTAAAAACAGCAACAGTGGCTTCTGATGACAACTCCGAAACAAATTTGAAAACTTCAGATAGCTCCATGAACCGTTTAAATGAGTCGACTTTCGACAGACAGCTGAAGGTTTCCTTGGCATTTTTTAAATCACGAACCAAAAACGAGGCGGCAAGGAATTCTTGCACCGATTTATGGAGAAAGAATGCCAGTTTCTCAGGACGAGGAGAGTTTGAAAGATTAGAAGTCTGTAGAAAGCCAAAACTGATAAACTTCTCAAGGAATAACCGAATGTCCTCAGGCACGTTGCTGAGCTTGAAATAAAGACAGTCATTTTTTTCACGGACGGTACGTTCAAGGGGATTGAAACGCTCCAGAAGAGACATAAGTAGGTACGAAGATTTACAGAGGAGACTCCAAAACCGCCAGTGCACTAGTTCGTCGCAGACTGTTTTTGAGTTATACAGAGTTGCGCGGGATGTTGATGGTCCTTGATAATCAGAAACCTTCCAGCTTAGAACCAACATTAACAAGAGAAGTGGTATTTCCGCCAAGTCCCACAGGTCGCGTCTACACAAGAAATTTGTAAACTTGTTTACTTCTGTTAGGTTGCAAAGAAACTTGAGAGCAAATGTTTCCACTTGCCACTGATCAAACCCATTTATTTCAAACTGTGCGTGACTTCCTGGTCTTAACTCATCTTTTTTCAGCGGTCGTGTTGTCACAAGAAGAGTGCAATCTCTCAATTGACTACCTTTCCAAATCAGATGAACTGGTGATGATTTTTCGGCGCTGTATTCATCATAGCCGTCTAAAACAAGTAGGACTTTCTGTTGGTTACGAAGAATGTAATCATACAACTGACTACAAACCACAGAGTTATCAGCAGACAATAGTTCAGCCTTTTTTAGCATGGCACAGAAGTCTTTCGTGTTGCAAACATCACGGAGCTTGATTAAAAGTACAACAGCAAACTTCTTTAGGATTTCTTTGTTGCCGCGTGACCAATCCACGGCGAGTTTCTTTGACAATGTCGACTTTCCTATTCCTGGCCTCCCATACACTAAAATTCTCTTAGGAATTAGATGATTACCATGGCTTGTGAATATCTCACTGTAATCTTCAAGCTCTTCTTGTGTTGTTCCAGCAAGTTTTCTGTCATCTCTTAGCACTGTTAACTGAACATACACCTCATCAATGTCCATGGTATTATCTCTGTTCCAAGGAGTAATCATTAACTGGCTCGCGGTACTGTTGTAAAATGAGCACAGCTGACTTTGACTCCACTCCAAAAAAGCAGTTGTATCATCTGTTAATAAAAAAGTAAGTATCTTAACAATTAAGACCCTTTCAAGGCTTTCCAGTTTAACTCTTGACCAGAGCCAGAAGCCCACGGGTAGAAGTCAGGTAATAGATAGGAGAGAGGAGTCAATGCTGTGTGCAGTATGCATACATGTATGTAAAGGATGCAATTACTTTTAATCGGTTAATATCCGACTGTGTTGTTGCTCTAGTTTTGTAATGTAATTCCGTTGATAAGACTCTGTAAGGGTGGATAAGGCTAATTCACTTCACAAGTATACGTTCAGTGAAGTTGTAACTTATTATTAGAAAAAAAATTATTTACCCTCGACAGTGTTCATAGCACACTAGGACTAGAAGGGCTGAGCAAATGACTGAAACAACCAAATCAAATAAACATAACAAGATAAAGAATGACTGGAATTTTGTCCAAATATACTAGCTATATTGTGTAGAACAAACTACATTAACAGTTTCCAAAAGCCATGACCACAAACGAAAAAAAAAAGGAGGGAGGAAAATAAGTGGAAAATGCACTGATGTGCTGGCTAACTTCTACATGGTGATGTAATGATTAGTTAACAATTAATGAATGAGGCTGAGTATCTTATGAAGAATTAGGGTTGTTCAGCTCCGCAAATATTCTCCAAATAGCAGATGTCGCTCTTCGAGTTGTCTTCTTGCTGTTCTTGCCATGTTTTTCGCTATTTTTTCGCCTAGTTGTTACTCTTGAAACGAATGAAATGTCCGCCATTTTTCAAGTTCACAACCAAAACAACTTAATCTCGTCCCCAGGTCTTCTCGGTTAACGGTGCATTAACCTGCAAGAACGCTGCATTTTTGACGTCATGTCCTCGCTAAACACAAAATTCTTCCAAATTTGGTCATCTTGGTCATCAGTAACTGGTTATGGTGAATTAAACGTGTGCTTTTAGCCAATCAGAATAGGGGAAATATTTTGAATGAATAATAATACTGTTTAAAAAACAAGCAGGAGTGTATTATTAGGTTTACAGTGCGACTACTATAACCGGGGCCACCAAGACAAAGTTGACCAATCGGATTACAGCAAAATAACAATACATGCACATTACGAGAAAGTTAGTCGTCAATCATAATTACCATGAAACAAAATAAACAACATGGATCGAAATCAACCAAACACAACCCACATGACCTCTTGAATCCGCTGAAGAAAGTCCGTGTTTCCTGAGAGGTCCGTTAGAGTGAGTGACGGAGGCAGAAAACGTAAACGTTGGTTATATTTTTGACTTGAGGTCGCATGTTATTGCAAAGCACAGCAATAGGGACGAAATTGTTGGAAAATGACAAAATAACAGCTTGTGTCTGACAAATATGTCTCTTGGGTGTTATATGTTACATTTCGAAAAGAAATACATTGTCTGGTTAAACATTTTGCATTCTTGAAAAATGTTTGCCATCAATTTTTGAGCTATTTTGAAAAAATAGCTCATATGTTAGTGGTCTGAGCGTCTTTATTTCTGTGGCTTTGTGACTTTGTGTGTTCGGATTTCTGTTGCAGGAGCCAGTAAGGTTGAAGGTACTATGAGTTGATGCGTAGGAACCAATGAAATTTTGGCATCTAACATGACATTCACTCGGCTTAAGGTCAAACAAAAGCACTTTGAGACCGCCATCTTGATTCTTCACAATTTTTTCGTCTTTTATTACGGCTAAAGGTGTTTAGAAGCATAACATTGAAATATCTTTATGATTCAAACACTAAGTACAGTGATGGAGCTGTCTAAGGGTTCATATTTTAGGGTGGGTGCTGCTTCAAGACATTTCTGACCTAATTCGGCTATCGCGAATGGTACAACACACGTATTTCATAATTTATGAATTCTGTTTCACCTGCTTCAAGGTAGAGTGTAAAAGATGATATATTTTTCAAAGTTCGTCCAATGAAACAATAATTGAAATTTAGATACAGTGTATGGACTTTAATTCTGGAGTATGCGGCCTATAAACCGTGATTTTAGAAGTCTGAAAGGCAAGGCGAGTATTGAACAAGCTTTATTCTCTCGCCTACAAGTTCAACAGACCTTTTTCGTACCAGCAAAATAAAAACATGAATTAGGTGAACAACGTTAAACAAGCTTGCTGCTTAAGAGTCATTGTAGTTATTGAAACGTATTTTTTTAGTAAAGATGCGTAATTTAAGTAGAAACAGTAACGTCAGGGAATTAAATGGGAAGAAGCTAGTTGACAAAATAATTACACATTGTTTTATTGAGTGAAATAACGTGATATGAGTAGAAATATATTTCGCCAGTTTGAAAATTTTCTTGGAAGGTAAAGGTTAGGTTATCAACCTTAACGTTGCGTGAAGCATAATTTCATTGCAGATATTGTAAAGCCGAGGTGATTTCTTAAAATTGTTTGAGCAAATTTTCTAGTAAACAATTTGCTTTTTTTTAGCCTGCGTAGCTGGCGGGATTCTCGTTCACATTTCTTATGAGTTTTGAATGCCGCCCACTTTTGTCACCTTGTTTGGAACCATTTGATTTATAATACCCAATCATGAAGAGTTGTGTAATACGAAAATGACCTGCAAACGAGTCAAGCCAAGCGTAACAATCAATTCGCGAACAAAACAACCATTTGTTGAAAGTTATTCAGGATGCAGGCAGGATATTCTGCAGTTACTCCAAACTTGAGAAACTAAATCCTTTATTAAACAGTCATTTAGCCGCAATAAAAAGCTTTATGCTTCAAGAGAGGTCAAAGAATTTCCTAAAATGCTTCAGAAGTCAAATTCTGTCAGAAACAAAAACCAAAGGAAATCAATGCTGGAATGCACAGGAAACACATCGGCCTCATGACCTCTCAATCGGCAAAGATAACATTTGCTCAGTTAAAAACAAGAATCCTCCACAGCATACTCCACCCGTATTTCTAAGGTTTAAGGTGATTCCCTGGTTTTGCACTGCGCATCTCTTACTGCGCATAACAAGATGGCCGCCGTAAAAAAGAGCATGTGAAGTAACATTATTAAAATGAAGTTGACTGAAGAGAAACACTATTGGAATTTCTGCTTGCTGTTGTTTCTTGCCGAGGTGAGACTCAATGTGTTGGGAATGTGCATAACGTGAGCAGTGCGCGAGTTGCTGAGTTCGACTTCCTCTTGGAGAACCTCGATGGTAGATGTTTAACCACAGGTCACCCAGGCTCTGTGATAGTACCACAGTACGGTTCCAGTAAAATTACAGTGTTTGTATGGGGTAAAAATACCATCCTAAAATTTCGAGGAAATACTAAATAAAGATCAATGAAACTTACTCTGCAGTTAATTGTTGTTGTCCTTATTGCTCCAACGAAGTTTCGGGATAATTTGCAGTAATTTGTTCAAATTCACTCTATCTACAATAATAATATACAAGGTAGGAAACACGAGGTGCCATTTTCGCCGACATGCTCTCATTCAACACAACTTTTTCCACGAAATTCGAACTCCAACGGAAAATAGACATGCCAGGATCGTAGAAATAGGATAGCAGCAGATATAGAAACCAATGAAGCTTTCCCAGATAGAGAAACGAATCCCACAGACTTTGACAAACTCGAAGAATATAATCCAAACACACCGAGAATACGCTCGCCGAAGCAGCCGGGCCAGATCAACGCGCGGCCAAGAAAATGAAGCCTGGGCACTGTACAAAAAAATTCCATCCCGGGGGTCCTGGGGTGACCTTTCTAGGGACCGATACATCATTTGCCCAAGGCCACCCTCCCCTGCTGGAAAAATACTTGATAGAAGGCAATTGTTCTTCCTAGCCAATCACTATGGCCTGTTATAAAGAGATTATTTTCCTCTCGAACTATATTCAGCTCCTGGCGCTGGTCCTCAGAAAGTTTATCAAACATCAATAGGGCAAGGTTATAAGGGCAAAGGAAAGAACAACGAAGGACGATTTACAAAACTTAAAACGAGCAAAAGATATAAGTGAATTTTGGCTCTTACCGAGGCATTTGTACAACAGGACCAAATTCAAAGAGAGGTGTATCACGATGATTCACATATTTAACCGATAGAGCGTTCACTTGTATTGACAAGAAGTCGGCGTGTTACTGCCGCATTAATCGCTAAATATGTTAATCGCGCTAGTTCTTTGTTTACTAGTGCACGTGCCTTTCACATTCGTCTCAGTTATCGCAATTCATATTCTGTCGCAATTTTCTGTATAATTTTTGACATTAGTTTGTAAGCTTCACCGTTTATTTACGATAGTTTCGCTCGAGAGTTCACAGCAACAGTATCTCAGTCATCATCTACCTTTTGTTCAACCTTGTTTTTAGCCCGCCTTGTAAGTATTTCGCGTTGTTATTTCATTAGTTTCATTACTGTTATTTGCATTCCTTAGTAAAAGAAATGGGGCGCCTTGCAACTCCGCAGACTCTCCTGATTGTATTATTTTTTTTTAGCCATTTAAATTTAGGCGCGTGTGCGGGGTTTGCTCTGGCAAATAGTGATTGGCTAGGAAGAACAATTGCCTTCTATCAAGTATTTTTCCAGCAGGGGAGGGTGGCTTTGGGCAAATGATGTATCGGTCCCTAGAAAGGTCACCCCAGGACTCCCGGGATGGAATTTTTTTGTACAGTGCCCAGGCCTCATTTTCTTGGCCGCGCGTTGATCTGGCCCGGCTGCTTCGGCGAGCGTATTCTCGGTGTGTTTGGATTATATTCTTCGAGTTTGTCAAAGTCTGTGGGATTCGTTTCTCTATCTGGGAAAGCTTCATTGGTTTCTATATCTGCTGCTATCCTATTTCTACGATCCTGGCATGTTTATTTTCCGTTGGAGTTCGAATTTCGTGGAAAAAGTTGTGTTGAATGAGAGCATGTCGGCGAAAATGGCACCTCGTGTTTCCTACCTTGTATATTATTATTGTATATAGAGTGAATTTGAACAAATTACTGCAAATTATCACGAAACTTCGTTGGAGCAATAAGGACAACAACAATTAACTGCAGAGTAAGTTTCATTGATCTTTATTTAGTATTTCCTCGAAATTTTAGGATGGTATTTTTACCCCATACAAACATTGTAATTTTACTGGAACCGTACTGTGGTACTATCACAGAGCCTGGGTGACCTGTGGTTTAACTTGCAGAAGACACGTCTTAAATTTTGAGATCTATTTCCCTCAAAAAAATGTCTTTCGAGGATTTATTTTAGGCGGAAGTCTTACTGTGGAGTGGAGTGGAGCCTGTTTATAGCTTGCTAAATTTGATTCATTTCCACATGAACGCACTAACTTTCTCTTGGGAGATAGAAGAGATATTAATTATCATTTGATTGGCATTTTATCGCTTCTCAGCCAGTTAGAAACTCCCGTAAGCCTGGCTGCGGACTATTCAAAATACCCAAGAATTGTGGCAGGCGGGACTTCAAATTGACTTGTATACCCCCCTATCTCGCGGCTCTGCCGCCAAAACAATACAGCACTCCCATGATTATCCCGCCAGCTACGCAGGCTACGTTATTTTACGTACGAATTGTAAAAGGGACAAAGTCCAACACCTTCACGCGCAAATTGTGTGCATCAGTTATTTTTATAATCCTATTTACCGAATTACTGTGTGATAACTCCAGTTATCTCACGTACGAACCACGAAAGGGCCAAAGTCCATCACTTTCACGTGCAAACTGTATGACTGTATATCTCATTCAGACTGGCTTTTCACAGTAATAATAGTAACATGATTGTATGAAGACCACTTTAGTTTTGTAACTAGTGCCTTAAATGAAGCTTTCTTTTAAGAATCAAAAACTTATAACACTTTTAGAATCAAGTCGTCAATGTTAAAGACTGTTTCATTAAGTAGAATCGCACGTGACAACCTCGTGAATAATGAGGATGCAACCATCTACAACAATGATGAAAATCGTGGCATTTCTTAGCTATTCGGTTTTCGACGAGCTCCATTATCTTAACAAACCATGAAGAAACCTTGAAACCTTCGAGTCTTCCCTCTAAGCAACGGTTGGTGAGTTGATGTTCATGGTACTTTAACAGTTTGTTTACTTCGCAACAGATGTCGGAAGGAAAGACAAAGAAAAGTGAATCTATAGTATGAGGACTGACTCAGCTGTGCGTAGCGGTTCGCGTTTTCATTAATGTACAGTGATACCCAATTTCGCACAAAAAATAGTCTTAATTTAGGATTAGAACAGTAGATTGTTGATACGGTTACACTGAAGCATTCAAAATAGCTCGTGCACGTTAAACGTGCCTATGTTTAAATTTTGTGCTTGAGTAACTTATTGTTTTTCTACGAGCTGCTGCTTGGACCTCAACCAACTTCCTTGGAATGTATTGTTACTTTCCTGTAACCCGATTGGTCAACCTTTGTCTAGGTGGCCTCGGATACTAGTCGCACCGTAACAACTAGAGATGAAACTGAGAGTTTTTAAACCTGATAATACACGACTACGAGTTTTTTGAACGGCTTCAGATTCTCTGATATAGATGAACTCGTTCTTGCACTAATATCTAGATTTGAGGTTATTTTGGTCTAAAAAATTGGACGTAAAGTTTAACAATGTCCTTATCAGATGTAAAGACACTCATTAAACAATACTTTCTTTTGTTTTTTCTTGATGAATTATTAATGACTTTTTGAATCTACTGTACTGTGATACACATTTCTGACATTTAACATCAGTACCTGGAGTACAAGGTAACTGTTCGTTTGATCTGCTGGCAGAGCACTGCTGTGATAAATCTGCAATAAAAAAGATCACTCACTTAAATACAGAAATAACACGCCGTTTAAAGCAGAAGCTAACATACTTCAGGCTTGTTTGTACTATGAGTTGAGATCTATGTTAGAAATGAAAGATAGCCATGGGAATGTTGTGGTTTAAACATCATTGTAGGTTAAATGCCATTGTTCAACGAGAATAATTGTCCTCAAAAGCACTGTCGACAATTTCGACAACCTATGCGCAAGTCATCACCTAAGTTGGTGTTAATGTTTGATAGTGTAATACTACCCAAATGGCTTATATTTTAGAAATCTGGTCTGTTTACTGACTGAGAACAAACGCCACTGAATCAACGAGCAACACTGTAGTAAATGTTTTAAATCAAGAGCTCTTATTTTTCAATTATGAATCATAACAAAATTTACACCAAAGTGGTCATATCACAAGATATGAACACAGGATCAAATTTAAATTTTAAGCTAACAGTTATAGCATTTTGGGCGGAACATACTCACAGTATACTGTAACATTATTATGCAGTGCAAGCCTAACCCTGGTTCAAAAACAGCAAAAATAAAACAGTACAATAATAAACCACATGCAAAATGGGTTTAGTGTCTATTACCTTGATAATGAGGCCATGAATGAAAAACACAGGGTTCATTCAAAATGTGTGCAACAAGAGAAGCTGCCATCACACTGGCACAGGACGACCAACTCTCTGAAGGCAACTGAGAACCATCTGCATAATCAGCTATCCCCTTCACAATTAACCACTCAATTTGACAGTCAAACGCTGCTGTAAACACTCCTGTAAAAAGAAATGGCATATGAATAGACAGACATATTTAGAATAATTATAACATTGGTCAAGCTAGCTCGCCATTAGGAAACGATCAAATGCTGTATAATGTGATAACATTTTACTCGCAGATAGATTATTTCCATTTCTTTTAGATTTGTTCTTATATAACCCTGATATTATTTCAAAACAAAACAAGCAAACAAGAGCACCTACTCATAAAGGCTGGAAGCCTAAAAACAGTCATCTCACCTTCTCCTTCATTTTCTATTGCCATTGCCTGAGGATTGGTTTCCGCAAGTTGATCACGCCGCCATTCAACTCTGACTTGTTCCGGTCCACTCAGAAACTCAGCATCAGTATAAACTTGAACTTGCTGAGCTTCAGCCAGGTCTTTCAAAGGTGCGTGCCAGCCATCAGTGCAACTCTTAATGACATCCAGAAAGCGTTTGCTCACATAACTTCTGTATGGTCAACTGACGAGAACTAACGACCAGTGATGAAAACTACGTATACAACGATTAAACCGTCTGTGTTGTTGTAGAGGATTGAACCTAAAACGTCCCAACTCCGGTGATGTACATGGATGCCTTTATTCTGCTTTGGGTCTCAGCACAGAGGCAGCATTTTTCACAGATATAAGAGAACCAAGAGGACCAATACCATTTTTGTAACATCTTAACAAAGCAACTTTTACTTCCCCTTGACTTTCACCCACATCAGAAAAGTAAACATAGCCAAGACCATCAAACCAACATCTATAGGGGTTTTTTAGCTCACTGTAACAAGCTAAGAACTCACAGTTTGTAACTGTCAGTAACAGAATATCAACAGGCACGGTAGCATTCTTTAAAGGTCTGGTTATTGCCTTAATGTCAGCAATGGATGGAAGAATTTTATTCAGCTCAGGAGGCTCCCCAATGTGGTTATTTGAGTTGCTTATAACATTCTCACATCGGGGACCAGTTGATCTGCTTGTCGTGGTCTGTGAAGATTGTAACATCTCAGATCCTAATCAGTTCATAAAAAAATACAACATTAACAAAAACGACAGAGAGTGCAGACTGAATGTATAAATTAGTGCATAAACGTCAGATAACAGTGACTATTATACGAATTATTAATTTAAGTGAAGCAATTTTAGGGATATGCCTCGAGGATAAAATTATTGCTGTTTAAGATCAATTCTGTGCTGAAGTTATTACTTAACGCCTTTAACCATTTTTATGAAATGCTCTTGTCAAAGATATCAGACACATTTCATCAGAGAGCACTAACCATAATAGTTTTTTTTTTATGATTTGTAGGCATGGAGCATTAGAACTTGAAAACGTTAGCCCAACATTCCTTGCCCATATATAGCCTTAATTACTTAAACAGCAAAACTGCACCATTAGTTTTGGAATTCAATTGATATAAACTAAGGTTTAGCTTATGAAAAAGACAGAAAAAGGTGCGACGTAAAAATTCACCTCATAACCAGTGAAAGAATTCGGGTACATTAAGCCATAACAATTTTGAAGTCTGGAGAGCAAGCCCGCAATGAGCACTGCAATAATTAACGAGTGTCAGCAAAATATTGTGATTTGTCACTGGTAAGCAGACCAATAATTTGGCATTGGCAAATAATTGACCTACATTGTATGAAATACTGACAAATCATGATATTTTGCAAGCTGAGTTTAATATCTGTTGTACCATTTGATTAGTGTGCCAGTTACTGTGATTGGCCTGCAAAGAAGACCTGTACATTTTGCAGTGAGAACAATTTGGACGTTGACACTGACAGAGAGTTAAGGCGAGTCAAAAAATGGTACTCCCTTAGTTTTTCAATTGCTTTCATGATAGCGGCCAATGATCAATGTACTTCTGAGAAACGGTTCTTCAGGAAGTATGCGGGGTTTGCGGATTGAGGTTTTTGAAAAGATGCTTACAGGTTCTCCGATCTGTCCTACCACCATTTTTTGCTTGTCGCTTATAATTCACTGCCCGCTCGTTTTTTTTTTTTGCCCATCTAACTGACCGAGAGCCCGGCACAGGCTAACATTGACTGAACTATATCATAATTATATTATTTTTTTCGAGGTCTGAATGAACTTCATTGTATCAGTTCTAAATCGAACACTAGTAATAAAAATATTAAAAACTAATAACAAAAAAGCAGCAATAACAAACAACACGCCACATGAAATTCTAAAAACGATGACTAATTATTCCTTAAAAGCCGACTTAAAAACCTATTTTGCACTTAGCCTTCATCCACATAATTCCTCTGGAAATACTTTATGCTTCGCAATCGTAGACTTTGGCACTCAATGTCTTCTGGTTGTGAGAAGTTATACAAAAATCTGTAGGAAGAATTCTGAGTCTATATCTCAGAATTTCTACATGAAGGGAATGCACAAACTGAATACTAATGGATTTTATGAAACAAACCACTCCTTGGACGTTTGAGGAAAGTTTTCACCACTCGTTCATTTAACAAAGACCCTTACTTGTTTTACAGACCGCTGGATGCAGGTACATTCATGCAATTTCGAATTGAAAAACATAAATATATATGAATCAGGGTAGCATGCAATACTGAGCTCTTTTTGCGATTTCTAAAGCAACTTTCTATAAAACAGTGATTGAATCAAAATTTGTAGATGGATCTAAAAATTTTCAAAGCTGCAATTGATCAGCTAGCATACTACAATCCCTCACCTTGTAAAGGTATGTTCTCGCTATGGTCCTCTTCAATATTTCCTAGCAATAGCTCTGATAGCTCATCCTTTGATTTTGCTAAATGAATTATGGTCAATAAACAGAATACAATGGATACTGAAAAGACCACAATAATAGCAATGTTGAGGTTTGATTTCTCTTTGTATCGTAAGTCGTTGCATGTAAATACATTAGCTGCCAGCGTTGTGTTTGCTGAAAAGCAACTATACTTTGCAGGATATTGAAGTTGCTGGTAACGCAAGAACAGTCCAATCATGGCAACTAGAAGGATAAACTGATAGCAGATGTGACAAATAAACACCCAGCACAGTTGTTTCTTTGATGTTTTTTGCCTCTCTCTATTTTTCTCTTTATAGATATGTCGCAACATCCAGACACCCACAAAAGTAACAAACAGCCAGCCAATTCCTGACAAACCAAAGGTAATACCAGCAAAGGCCAACGGTGTTAAGTGTGGACTCATGGCAGAAGTGTAGTTGTGATAACAATGCTGTCTTGTGTAGTCAGTTGGTGGGGGCTCACAGTTGAATTGCAGCCTGTCTTGGTTCTCATAGCCCTTCAGTAGACCAATCACAGTGGACCAAGAGAGGGAAGAGAATGCAAAAAGACAGCCACTGAATATGGTCTGATACCTCAATGTAGCTTTGATGAGATTATCCATCACAAAGAAGGATCATGTAATCTGAAAGAAACAAAGAACACGGAAAGGTTAGAACCCTGGGTAAGATAATTTGGTTATCTGTGCATCCAAGAAATTGAACCCAGTGACCCTATGAATAAATGAACGAACCAGTCTTAACTTAATAAGTGAAATTTGCTAAGAGCTAGCAGAGTGCATTTGAAATAAAATCAACAATAAAGTAGAATAATGCCGACCTGATCAAGACATTTTGGTGGATGGAACCCCACGAAGGACATATTTCCTGCCTAAAATCTGTTAGGCATGTGCATGGCTACCTCAGCCATTTGTGGAGCACGTGATGTTTAAACTCTCTTGTTTTGGCTTAAAATATGGGAAAACAAATTTTCTGTCCAAAATACTTATGACATGTTGTAACAAAGTATGTCAAATATTTGCACATCCAAATATCAGGGTCCGAAATTGCGCCTTCCTGGTCGCCAATGCGACCAAAAATTCAGTCCTGGCGACCAGAATTTCATAGCTGGTCGCCAGCTGGCGACTTGTAAAGCTGGTTGTTATTGTAAACTTTCATGTTCGGAGAAAATGATTAAGAATTGAAACCTCGAAGCTCTTTGCCAACAGGTGTCTTACTTTTTGTCCTGCTGATATTTTTTTAATTTAAAAGGGAAACGAATCTTCCTGTAAATATACCTCCACAACAACTACGATCAATACGAGTTGAACGTTTCCAAGCCGCCAAGGGGAAGTTTTGGAGAAAATAATTTGCCCTCTGGCGACCAAAAATTTATACTTGCTCACCAGTTGGCGCCCACATTAAAAAGTTAATTTCGGACCCTGAATATTAATGCTTTCGATTGAATTAAATCAGAGGAAGTCATGAAAATTAATGAGCATGTCAAATTGCACAGCCAAATGCTTTCAATTGACTGAATTATTTTATTTTATTTATTTTACTTTTATTTTCCAAATACACACTCTCCATCTATGTGATGATTCTGAACAAGAAAATTAAACCAGAGAAAGTCATGACATAAGCATTAACAGATCCCAGTTTAATGAGAAAAATTCAGAGACACAATGATGACAAATAACAAACTTTAACTTGCACCATGTGAACAAATAAATTTTGTTTTTAATTCCCTTTTAAAGGGGCTGTGGATGGCAATCCAGTTCCTTTTGTTTAATTTTGCCAATTACTTGCCCTCAATTGCTATGGAACTTAAAAGAAGACATTACATGTAAATAACAAAATCAGAGATTCAAGATAAACAAATAATGTCTCCTGAACATTACTTTTGAAGTTGCAAACAGCGGTGATCAACTTTGAAAAACTGTTAGGCTGAACAGTTTTCAAAAACACTAGTTTCAATGAATGCGTTTCAATCCTCTTCAGTTCTGCCCATCCTTGGCATCTGTTGTGTTATTTTAACCTTCCTTTAATCTTTTAATTAAGCAGTTATTTTTATGTTTATCCTAATTTAACGGGCATTTTGTAATTACCTAATTTGGCTAAATTTTCGGACACAGTTCCTTTAATGCCTGCATTTTTTCTGCAAACCTTTCATCAGCTCACTTTCTAGCTAATTAGTCTGAGAAATTAAACTTACAATGAAGTTTGTCTCAGACCTTTTAACTCTCTCGGTTTGTTGGGCTGTCAACTCATGGACTCACAATTTAGCCTTCAAATCTCATGGTGAATCAGAAAATGTAAAGTTGCCAGAAAATTCTGGTAGCAGTCGCAGGGTTTTTGTTAGACCCGGGACGCCAGGACCTTTACTCGGCTATTTCAATTCTCGTCCCAGCTATTTTATCAGGTGGTGCTTATAGATATTTATAATTTTATTCCCTGTTGTTAAAACAGAAACCCAATACCAAGAATTGTATTTATATGTTTTTAAGCAGCAAATGCCTTATTTAAAGGAGCTAAAACAATGGCCAGAAATGGCCCAAAATGCACCCTGGGGCCTTAAAATTCTAAAATTCTACCCCAACTTCGCACTGTGTGCAAACTCTGCAGCCATCTTTAGTCCCTGCTATTGATACATTTGTTCTGGCTCCTTCAAATCTTAACAAAAACCCTGAGTCGCATAAGTTCA